TACTAAGACTGGAAATGTACACTCACTTTCCAGCATCCTGTGTCTTTTCAATTGCTCAAGGAGAGTTGCCAGAAAAACATACATACAACTCCTCTCTTTGTCAGCCAAGAGCAGCCACAGAGGACTGAGCCAAAGAGAAGCGGAAGAACTCAAGATCAGCAGCAGCACAGAGTGGCTGAGGCAACAAAGACAGAAAGAAGTACTGTGCTTGGCAAGGATGTTTGTAACAGGCCAGTCTTTTCTCACAACTCTCAGTAGCAACAAAAGTGACAAGAAAGGAAAAAAGACAGGGACAAAAGAAGAAGGAGGGAGCGACTGTGGCCTGTATCAGTAGTCAGGCAGCAGCCACATTATTGAGGGCTGCTTTTAGAGGCAGTGACAGATACAATTGTCTGAAAAAAGAAGAGAAACCAATCACATCAGACAGAAGACAGAGCAGCTTTGCTGCCATAGGGGACAACCAGCCACCTGTCTCTGCTTCTGCTCTCTTTGAGGTCTAGGGCAGGAGCTCTAGCCTGGGCAGGGTGAAATGGGGATTGGCAGGTTCTCTGCTTTGCATTCCCAAGGCATCAATGTGCCCTGCAGGGAGGTAAGTCCCCAGGAGTAAGTCTGGAGGGAGGGAAAGAAGCCATTTTCAGCTTGTATTAATGCCACTCTCATGCAACTACATATGCATCGATGTCATAATTGATTTTTACATGGTTCCATTCTGCACTGGTAGCAGTAAGCCAGGGCAACTGGAGACTTTTCATAACCTTTGCCATTCTCTGACATGGATCCATTATGCCTTCTCAATCTTTGATTCCCTCTTTCTTCCAGATTGCAGCTCCTGTTCACCACCCCGCCCCCACCTCCATTATAGAAAAGCTGTAGTGTCACTACATTCATCATGTGATTTATTACAAACCATTCACCATGTTCTGTATAATAGTGCCAGATAATGTTTGCAATGTTTTGTAAAAGAGATTTCCACTGAGGAAAAAGTTAAAAATTTTATGTATAGATATTTAAAGGTTGCTCTATTATTTAGCAGAGAAAATTCCAGATGTCCAGTTCATTTTCCAAAGATATTTGGTTTTACTTAATGTGATTCAGAAGGTATTTTAGAAATTGCTATAAGAAAACTCTATTTCTGAAGGGTACTGACATGCAGCAATGATGAGAATTTTTTTTTTTTTTGTTGGTCATGGGGCTTGAACTCTGGGCCTGGGCACTGTTCCTCAGCTCTTAGCTCAAGGCTAATGCTCTACCACTTGAGCCACAGTGCCAGTTCCAGTTTTCTGGTGGTTAATTGGAGATAAGAGTCTCATGGCGTTTACTGCCCGGGCTGGCTTTGAACTGCAATCCTCAGATCTCAGCCTCCTAAGTAACTAGGATTACAAGTATGAGCCACCAGTGCCTGGTTTGATGACAGTTTTTTTTTTTTTAACTGATGTTAGAGCAGAAGATGGAAACAGGAAACACCTATCCATCCCTCAGGACTAACTGGATGGAGTAATATAATACAAGCTGTGCTAAATACTGTCTTCTTTCCTGAAATCTCTGCCCAAATCATTGCAGGCAGGAAAGTGGTAGTAACTCATGTCTCTTGCAGTCTGGGATACTAATAACTCTTGCATTAGAGAATCTGTAACTATAAGTAATTCTATCCTCACCTGGAAGCTAGATCTCTACCCGTGCTGCAGTCATTTGTAGGTGTGGTTTGCTTCTTCCACTGAGTCAATTAAGTGCCCCTTCTTTCCCTACGTTTCTGTTGAGGATTGAGGTGTGCGTTAGATTTAATGAAGGAAAGGGAAAGGCTGAGAGGATTCACAATCTCTGCATTGTACTTCTACCTGCTATCAGCAGTGCAGTGCTGATTTTGGGCTCTGTAGCCAAGTTCCCAGCACACAAATTCTGTTTCCTTATACCAGTTCATAATATCTTGGTGCTATTGCTTATTTATCTGTATAATAGGAGTGATTCAGCTGATCCTTACAGCACAATTCATATAGAGTTGTCTCAAAGAAAATGTCTGGGGGGGAGGGGCGGTTGAAGGGAAGGAAAGAGGGAGAAAAATGAGGGAAGGGGTAACAAGTTAAACAAGAAATGTACTCATTACCTTACTTCTATAACTGTAACCCTTCTAATATCACCTCGACAATAAAATTGCAATTTTTTGAAAAGAAAATGTCTCTAAACTTCAGCCATTAAATGATTAAAGGAAGGACTTGGGGACCAAGAATGCTCATTTGTGTTGCTCTCAAGGCAACATCAGAATCATACGCTGTAAAATTCACAAACTTTAATTCAGATAGAAGGTGGTTCAGATCTAACCTAAGTATCTTGGATGAAAATATTTTGGAATAGAATCATTTTCCAGATTGTTGCAGCTAAATCAATTAGCTTGCTATCCACTAAACAAAACTTTCAGAGAACTATCTAGGTAAAAACAATACTGTTACAACATTTCTCAGTTTCTACTACATTTTAGGAATCAGTACAAGTTACCATGAATCACAGTTCTTTGGCCCTTCAAAACCAAATAACTTGATTGGAGACATTAGGAAGCAGAGGCCTAGAAACTGATGAACTGGACAAAGCAATGTAGGTAAATACTCTCCATCACTGGCACCTTGTAGATTACAAATGCTCAGGCCATAAGAAGTGTTTCACTAGGAAAACTCTAGTTCTTATTCCATCAGCTTTATGAAGGACCCATGTGGCTGAGGCTGGTGTGCTCTCCTACAGGAGATCAAGTTCATCCTAAAATGAATCTAAAAGGTCTTCTAGTTAGACTTACCACCAGGAAACATTAATGACCACTCTGGAAGGAGCTAAAGGATTGCTTTTGTTTGCCGCCCAAACCAACAGGATAGAGTTCTTTGAACATGAGCACTCTGGGTACTTTTCTTTATAAACTTACAGTTCATTGTGATTTTAAGATGCACAGTTTTATTTATTTAGGAATTTTCTGTCTCTCTTCTTGATAAAATTGTGCTATTGCTGACCTCATGGGCAGCCAAGGAAGCATGACACTGTAAGCACTAAAGGAGGTCAGGTGGCAAACTTCATTGTAAGGTTCAGCCCTCATGAGCCCTTTCTGGACTGCATGGACCTTGCTATCCGTTCAGCCTCCTGTCTGCTTCAATTCTACAGGTACCCCCAGAGTGACAGCCAGACAACTCACAAAGGTAGGGGAGAGAGAGCTTTATCTTCCTGTATATCTCAGTCTGATTGGGGAAGGAAACAGCAGGTTTGCAAACATTAAATGGGTTTTGAGGGGCTACAGGTAAGGGAGGGTAGAGAAACCCAAGTGAAGGAGCTACATTGGGGCTTTGTTCACCCTTGGAGGGAACCATGAGGCTTTCCAAGGGAAAGAAAGGTGTTCCTGTTCCTGCTCCTGTTCCTTCCCTTCCCTTCCCTTCGCTTCCCTTCCCGCCTCCCTGCTCCTCCCGCCCTGCCCCACATCATTCCTATGGCTTGATGTCAGGTTCTGAGTGCCATTCTTGAGCTTTTGGGTTCTACCACTTGAGCCACAGCTCTACTTCTGGCTGTTTGCTGGTTAATTAGAATAAGAGTCTCATGGACTTTCCTGCTCAGGCTGGCTTTGAACTGTGATCCTCAAATCTTGACTTCCTGGGATTACAGGTATGAGCCTCTGGTGCCTGGTTTTCTTTCCTTCTTTCTTTTCTTTCCTTCCTTCCTTCCTTCCTTCCTTCCTTCTTTCTTTCTTTCTTTCTCTCTCTCTCTCTCTCTCTCTCTCTCTCTCTCTCTCTCTCTTTCTTTCTTTCTTTCTTATACTGGCTGTCTCTTTCTTCAAACCAGAGTTTTTTGGGGCTCTGAGTCCTAGTATGAGGGTGAGACACATACTAATGATTGGCAGCTCTGCTGCTCAGGGCTCAGCATTGTCAGTCTTGCCACATCCTTTGCCCAAGTCTCATGCCCAGGTTAGTTACTTGTCTTATTTCTGGTAAATATAAATTAGGTACAGGCCCTGCTCAAAGAGTCTCTCGCATCAGCTTTTAGCCCCAAATTTTGTGAGCTGTGTTTATCTTTATCTACAGTCTTAAAGCTCTTTTTGGTTTGCAAACTAGAACTCTATTCTTTAGAAAGGAGTTCTACTGTTCTCCAAGGACAAGCGCCTGCTTCAGACCTGAAAGGAGCCATCAACCACTATTGAGCCACTGACTACACACTAGCTTCTCTGAGGTTGCAGCCACTCAGCGTTCCTATCAAACTTCCTAATACAAACTTTCTGACCAGCAGAGTCTTTGGTCAGACCCTACTTCTTATTCCACCCTAAAAGCAGGCCCACTGTGTACCCTGTACCTCACTAGACACTCCCTGAGACATGGGCATGTGACTGCCCACTGCTGGTTTCCTTTCTGATCCTCTTTTTCAATCTATCAGCCCTGCCTCTCACAGCTCATTGCCTAACTCCAACGGAAACAGACAGGACATCAGATGTCTTCCAGAATGATCAGCCCTGCCAATTGGACTCTAGAGTTATAAGCAATCAATTTCATTTGTAGTAAGAACAGTCTATACTTCTATTCAACTGCAAAGTTCAATTAAGAAGTTAAGCAAGTAGAGACCCTATTTATTTCCCTATTCAGAAATACATTTTGCCTCTATGTGTCCACTTGGCCACCACAGCTAAAATTTCAAATCTCTTCCCTTGTGTTCACCATCGCTTTATCTGCATTTAATGCTCAACATGTTTTACAAACATACGATACAACTCATTTACCTTGCTTACTGTTTATCCCTTCTCACTGACTATAAGCCACATGAACACAGAGGTTTTGATTTACTTTCTTATTGCTCTGTACCCAGAGTGTATTCTGGCCCACTGGATAGGAAAATGAAGGAGTGAATGAAGGATGTGTCTGCTCCTTTCTGGACATGCCACATGGCCATGGAGACTAGACTGTATCCTCCGACCCAGAGCAGGGAATTCTGCCAGCCTGTCATCTGCTGGCTCATCAGCTTTCTGCTGTCCCCACGGTCACACTCACCTTCAGCTTGTGTTCATGCTCTTTGTTGACACGGGCCAGCAGCTGAGCCTTTCTTCGATTGAGGGCATCGATGAGGGCGTCACACTGAGCCACCAGACAAGCCTCAAACTCCACACTGTTCTCCTATGTGACAAAGAACAATTGTCAGACACAAAGTTTTGGGGAAGTTGGGGTAGCTAGAGAAACCAGGGCTCCCCTGACCAAACTACTGAAGGGGATGGACGGAAAGGAACTCTGTTCTCAAAACACATTGTGTTTTTAAAGTAACTGGATAAATTGTATTCTACAGTGGTAGTGTTTTGCTTTAAATGTAGATAGGAAAAGATAAGTATGTATTCTTTAAATTCAGTTTTGTCAAAGGGAAACTACCTCTGCAGTATGAGTTATGGTGAATTCAATAATGTTCTAGAGTCCAGAGTGAACACAGGTAAAAAATGATCTTCAGGAGGAGTGAGTATAGGAGAAACAATCCTTCAATGGGAGGAAATAGAAAAAGGATGGTAGTGACCATCACATTGGAAATCACAATGGAAATGCCAAAGGTATAAGAATAATGAATCAAAGTACTTTTGACTCTCACTAGGGATAGCAATAGTACAGAATAATGAATGTCTGTAGCAGGCATTACTATGTTGGAGAATTCAGCTACAAAGCAATAGCTTCTAGGGGAAAGTAAATTAGCTTCCCCATTATGTTTGAATTAAATGTGGGCTATAAATTTTTAACTTGACTTAAATCCATATATATCTTTCTTCAAGCAATGCTCTCAACAAATTACAGACATTTATTAGAGATAATCTTTTTAATAAGTTATATATGAGATTTTGATTCTTAAATCATAATCTTAAAAATAAAACCCCATGCAATTTATAGCACATAAAAGCTAAATACACTGACACCAGCACTTAAAAAACAGCACCCAATTGAGTAAACTATAAATCTGGGGGTGACTGGCAATAAAAGAACAATTTAGTCTATCAAATTTTATACCCAAAGTCATAAAAAACTGTAGCTCTTTATATAATGGTCCACAGATCTTTATTTGGCATTTTTTTCAAATATGCAGATCTGTGTACAAGGCACTAGTAATTGCTTGAGCAATGGCTCTTATAGATGCTAATTCTGGCTTTCATGGCAAGCATTTTTGAGTTGTTAGGAAAGGCTCTTGGGAAACATTTAAGAGGTCTCTGTGGCCCAGTAGGGTAAAGGTGGTGGGAGGGAGCCTTCCCCTTGAAAGCCTCTCTACTATTTTCTTGCAGAAAGAATGCTTTACTGAGATGGAGGGGCAAGGCTCAGGCAAGCCTGGAGCTGCACAGTTTATGCCAGCAAAAGCAAAGAAAGGACTGATTGATAAACTCTGCTGCTTCAGAAACACAGAAGGAAGTGTACAAATCTGTTAGGCTGTTAGGGAATCAAAGTCTTAACATGGACATGCATGCCAAAAGAAAGGCATAGAAATCAGTGTATAATGCTTTCAAAGGCTGGCTTACATTTAAAAATCCATTTCTGCTTCGACGTGGGTTAAATATCAACTCAGAAAGCCCATTTACTGGAGGCCAGAGCTAAGGTTATTTCTCTGAGTCAAAACTCAAAACCCAAGAATGGTAAACAGTACAGAGGGTCATTATCTTAGTGTCCCATGAATTTTATGGTTTCCCCCTCTCAGCTATAGTGGAGAATTTATGGCTTCTCAAATGCTTGCTGACCTGCTGGTCATTGTGTCCAGATAAAGCAATCTGAAACCACTGTTGCTATGGGATCATAGCTGGGTGATATCCAAATACCTAAGTAGAGGAGAAGCATTACTATGGGACAGGAAGAAAGGGAAGGAAGAAAGGAAGAAAGAAGGAAGAAAAATGTAAGAGAAGGGAAGCAAAAGAGAAAATGTGACCTGTTAATGTTAAATAAGATAAAAATCATTACAAGGGGTTTGAGAAATCTATAGAGCTGTAAAAACTAAATAATACCTTGTATTCACAAAGGAGATAAGCTTCTTTCTAAATACACAGTAGTAGAGTACGAGGATCCTGAGTGTGGAAGACCGGTACCACTTGAAAAATGAGGCTCTGTTTTTGGCTTGCTGGCCAAAGTCAACCATCTCCAGGATATCTGAGATGGTGTGTGTGTGTGTGTGTGTGTGTGTGTGTGTGTGTGTGTGTGTGTGTGTGTGTGTGTGTGTGTGTGTGTGTGTGTGTGTGTGCGCACATGGATAGAAGAGATCATATAATAGGTACAAAGAAAATATTTTTGCTAAAAAGTGCTGACTCCTTACTTGGGCCTATGAAATAACTAAAAGCAGGACAAAAGCTTGGCATCTCTGTCTCCATTTTGTATCTGTATTCTTTTGAGCCATTCTTTCTGTAGTTACTTTGCAACTACCCTGGAATCCAGGAAGGACAAGAGTGGTTGATAGCATCTTTACAATGAAAGGAATAGCAGAGCCTGAGCATGGCAGACTAGACAACCCACAATAATTTGCTTAATGTAACAAAATCACTCCCTTCAACTGAGGAGAGCAATAACAGCTGGAGAACCCCTTAAAAATGATCAACCAGATTACAGTTTGACCGTTAACTAATTATACATTTATAAAATTAATAAAAATAATGAATAGTTACACCCTTGCCCTATTTTTCTTTATTTAAACCAAGAGCTCATGTCTGTATGCTATAGATGAGCTGAAGGGCTTCTTTGCCTCTTTCCAAACCATGAAATAAATCTCACCACTACTCGTCTGTTTATTTAGTGTGTTGACTGGACCTGACATATGGAAACTCTGGAGTTGGGCCTGGGGCCTAAAACTCATCTCAGTAGAGTAGAAATTAATCAACAGGAAATTTCTTTAAATATAGGCGAATATAGAGGAGAAAATAAAGGAGAAAAAATAAAGGAGAAATAAAGGAGAAAAAAAAACAAGTCCCCTCCTCCCACTACCCCGTTAGGCACCAGCTGGCTGGGTTTGTTTCTGTCCATCTCAGGTGCTGTCTGTACCTGGATCTGCTGCACCATGTTGCGAAGCTGCACCAGAAACTCCTTGGCTTCTTTGGCCCTGTCGGACAATCCATTCAGTGCCTGGGAGAGCTGGTTCTGCAGAGAGAAAGAAGGAATCTATGGAGCTACAATCACACAAGGCTACATAGGGTTCTTTTCAGAGCGACAGGCCCCAAAACCTAGAGTCACCATCTTCCTGAGAACAATTGTCTGAGGTTGACCCATCAAGCCACACAATTTGTACTCTGATACCAAGGGCATCCACCCCTTCCATGGGCAGTCAAACATCCTCACCAACTGTTATCTCTCTAGTTTCCTCACCTTATTAATTAATTAAGCAATCATTTACTTAATGCATTACATAAAAGAAAAGGAATTAAAAAGAGTAATAGGGGGGTTGGGAAGGTGGCTCAGTAGTACAGTGCTTGCCTTGCATGCATGAGGCCCTGGGTTCAAATCCTCAGCACCACATAAGCAGAAAAAGCCGCAAGTGGCACTGTGGCTCAAGTGGTAGAGCGCTAGCCTTGAGGTGAAGAGCTGAAGAGCTGAGGGGCAGCGCCCAGAGTTCAGTCCCCATGACCGACAAAGAAAGAAGAAAGAAAGAAAGAAAGAAAGAAAGAGTAATAGGGATAGTGAATATGATTAAAGAAAATCATTTGCATATGAGTGTCATGATGAAACCCTTTACTATCTCTAATTTAATACATACAAGAAATATGAACAAATAAGACTTAAAAAATAAATACACCCCCAACAGTGACTTAGATGCTCTGATTGTTATTGATACTACCTACCCTAAAGGAGTAACTGGACTGGGGTTGAGGTAGAAAGAATGAAGAGTGTCAAGGAAAGAATTCTTGCACTACTCCATCTTCCTAGGACACACTTCTGCTGAGGAAGCAATGTGTCCAAGTAAGCACTTGCTTCACCAGAGTCACTGCTGGGCAGCCATAGCTGAACAATGGGATCTGGATTCGTCTGCGGGGTGCTGGAGTGGCTGGAAAAGTGTTTGCTTCTCTGCAATGTGACTGGTGTGTTCTTTCTCCTTTGATTCCTGCCTTTGTGATACATTGTGATGGAAGAGCAAGGGTGAAGGAATGGGGAGAGAAAGAGCTTGGGTTCTAGCATTTCTGGGCACCAAAACCAGCATCTGAAGCCTCTCCCTCCTAGGCTTCTTGTTATGTGAGAAGAACAAATTCCTATTTAAGTCCCTGTACTGGACTTTTCCATTACTTGTAGCTGTTAGTATTGCACTTGATACAAAATTCCATTTGTATCAACCTGGGAAAATCCTTCTGTTCCTCATAGAGCAGTGATAGAATCCCTTTTCTATAACACTATCTGTGAAAAAGTAAACCCAACTATCTTCCTTATTAGCCAATCTCCAAATTGCATCTCTTGGTCCTGTAAATACTGTGTTGTTGTTTTTTTTGGTGGGGGGGGGGCTTGAACTCTGGGCCTGGGCATTGTCCCTCAGCGCTTTGGCTCAAGGCTAGTGTGCTACCACAAGAGCCACAGTGCCACTTCCAGTTTTCTGAATGGTTTATTGGAGATAAGAGTCTCACGGACTTTCCTTCCCAGGCTGGTTTTGAACCATGATCCTCAGATCTCAGCCTCCTGAGTAGCTAGGATTACAGGCGTGAGCCACTGGGGCATAGCTTTCCTGTAAATACTTTTATATTCACCTCATTGAATACAAAGTTGGAGCCAGGCACCAGTAGCTCACACTTGTAATTCTAGATATCCAGGAGACTGAGATCTGATGATGGAGGTTCAAAGACAACCTAGGCAGAAAAACCCGTGAGACTCCATTTTCAATTAACTAGCAAAAACTGGGCTGGAGATGTGATTCACATGGTAGAGAACCAGCACAGGAACCAAGAGGAACAAAGCTTGAAGCACTGAGTTCAAGCCCTCAAAATGGCTAGTAGTAGTAATAATAATAACAATAAAAGGTTGGGCACGGACTCTCTTTTAAAATATGCATGTCAAATGCTGGGTGGTAGCAACATGTTCTAGTATGAGAAAGACAGACTTTGATGGGGCACAAATTCTGACCTTGTCTCTTATTAAGTAGGGTCCTAATAAAGTTACCTCAACCTGAATTATTCCAGTGGGAAACCATTGGAATAATAATACTTTATCATTGGGTTATTGTGAAGGTTGAATTAATCTGTGTGAAAGCTTCTGCTAATAAAGGGGAGTTGATTAAGGTACTACTCTGAACTCATAAATGCTGCAGTTACAGGCTGTTCAATCTTCCAGACATAGTTTTACCTCCTACAAAAAATGAGAAGAACAATACTATTCTTGGATGCTGTGGGCATTGCTTGAGATACTATATCAAAAGCCCAGAGGCATGTGGGTGTACAGTGCATAAGGCACTTAATAAATGTTGCCTGGCATTCATTTCTTCCAGTTTTCTTCATTCTTTCTCACATAAACACATGCAGACTAGATGGCTTTGAAGAATAGATTCTGAGGACAACTGTGCTTTGCTCTATGTATCAAGGCTCCAGGAGGGTAGAGCTACACAGCTGAGTAAGAAAAAGCACACAGTGAGCCTATGGCTTCAAAAGGAGTTACAGTTCTTTATTCCTAGGTTTCAGCAATACCATCATTTGGGTAAATGTTTCTCCACAAGAACTATTAACAGGAGATAAAGATGGAAAAAAAAGACTTATTTGGAAGGGTAGTAATAAAATGAGAAACATTTTAAAGAAGGATTTATTTTTCATTGTCACTCTTAGAACTCATGTCTGTTTATTTTTATCCAAATGGATAAAAGTGTGTGGGGATATCACATTTTACTTCCACTTAATATTGTAACCTATGCCTTTGTAATGAAACAGAAATTTGGGTACAGAAATTAAAATCATTTGGCTATTTAGAAATGAATTGAACTGATTTCTTACATTTCTGATCTTACAAATAACTGTGTATATATAATATACATCAGACTGGACACTTAAAAAATTATTGACCATGTGAGGCTATATTCTTGAAAAAAATTAGTAGGAGACAAAGAAAGCCGGCTTCATAGAGGACTTTACAGGCAAAGCAATAAGTAAACTGAAAAACTGAATTCTTTGGATGTACTTTCAGGCCCAGTGCCTTTTACCTGCTAATGACTATTCTGGGATTTGATAAAACAACTGCATTATAAGATAAAGATCTAGAAATTGCTTTCCTAAGCTTTGTCTACTTGTGGAAATGGAGCAGGAGACAATGAAAACTCCTGGAAATCTATTTATCACTAGAAAATGTCCTTGTTTGTAAGGATTTATATGTACATTACTTTTATAGAATGATTTTTACCACATTTATAAACTATATCTGATGTGGAAGGACATTATTATTGATTGATCTTGTTTCTTACAAACATTTATATTCCTAGTCTGGGCTCACAGAGCCATTCTATATTCAGGACAGAAAGCAGCCCTGCAAATTCACCATAAAAGCCTGGAGATGCAGATACATGGTAAGTGTTTTCATCTCAGCATCTTTAGGTGTCTACACAGTCATTAGAGGGAGAAAGTGATAGTTCTCAAAACTGTTAATAATGCCTAAGCAGTGGCATCCATATTTCTTGGGCATGTGTGTTATAATTTACTGAAAAGCTATCTGAAAGGAAACAAGAGTGGGAAGAGATGCAGCCGCAGAAGCCCTGACAGATTTCCAATCAAGTAGCTCTCAGCTCAGAGCATGCTCAGAATAACCAAATTCTCCCAAGATAATAGCAAATTGTTCAAGCTTGAAGGAGAGAAACAAAGAACCCAGCATCCTTCTTTCCTTACTTGCCTCTCCCTTGTACTCCTGAGCTAAGCCTGGCTCCCTGTACCTTACAAAGGCCTGATGTTATGTGTGAGTTCAGGAGTTTAACCTGGAAGGTATTGTGGAGGTTTCAGAATCTATTTCTTCCACTCAGTAAAGGGAAGAGGGAATTCAACCCCTGCTGGTCAGTTTTGCCTGCCTCCAGTGAGCCACTGAGTATGCAAAGTGAGGGGACAGTGGCCCTTCTCTACTGTAAATGTTATTCATTTGTCATTTCCTGCTCAATTTACTACTAAAATTGGACAAAGCTTTGTGACTGTCTAGGATCTAAAGTTACAGGATTGACACAGGTCAAAAAGCACCAACCAAATGGTAGGTACAGAACAGATGAGACAGAAAATACACAACAGCAACTTGATAACCCAGAAAATGACCCCGCTTCTTCCTCAGCACAAGGCACCTTTTGGGTCTCCAGCAAAGCAAAACACTTACCATGTATCTGCATCTCCAGGCTTTTATGGTGAATTTGGAGGGCTGCTTTCTGTCCTGAATATAGAATGGCTCTGTGAGCCCAGACTAGGAATATAAATGTTTGTAAGAAACAAGATCAATCAATAATAATGTCCTTCCACATCAGATATAGTTTATAAATGTGGTAAAAATCATTCTATAAAAGTAATGTACGTATAAATCCTTACAAACAAGGACATTTTCTAGTGATAATCTCAACATTTTCTGTTGAGATGCTATGAGCATTGATGGGCCAAGGTACTAAGGCAGGCACTGAATACAGGAGTACAGTAGCTATGGATGCAATGGATTCTAAAGGAAAGCCCAGGAAGAATACTAATTATTTTTTCTTCAGAGATTCTGAGTACATAGATACTAATTACATATGTATTCTAGACACAACAAAGTAAAAGTAAAAAAATAATAGTTCTAATACATATATATGTGTGTGTATATATATATATATATATATATATTTTTTTTTTTTTTCTGTCGGTCGTGGGGTCTGAACTCTGTCCTGGGCGCTGTCCCTCAGCTCTCCAGCTCAAGGTGAGCACTCTACCACTTGAGCCACAGTGCCAGTTCCAGTTTTCTGGTGGTTAATTGGAGATGAGAGTCTCACAGACTTTCCTGCCTGGGTTGGCTTTGAACCACGAACCTCAGATCTCAGCCTCCTGAGTAGCTAGGATTACAGGTGTGAGCCACCAGTGCCCGCTATATTGGTCTTGTTTTTTTTTTTTTTTTTTTTATGAGTCAGGATACTGGTGGGAGCTTCAAATGGATACCCTACTTATAATGCCCTCTTGTTCCTC